CTAGAGGGTGCTCCACCATTTAAAATGATTAATAATCTCATCTTGTCCTCACTTCCACTTTCTTGCCTGCTCGCCATAACCCTTCAACCTATTACTAATTAAAAATCTGTTTATCGCCTCCTTAAATTTACTCGATGCCTAGCGTCCACTACACTATGGGGCAATGAATTCCACAAAGTTAGTGCATTTTGAAAGAAGTAATTTCTCCTCATCTTTTTTAAATCTGCTACCCCTTATACTGAAATTATGACCTCTCATTCTAGATTGCCCCATGAGAGGAAACATCGTATCTTTTGTCAACATTGTCAGTCCCCTTTAGCATCAATTAAATTTTTTCTGGTTCATCTAAACTCCAAAGAATGTAGACCTAAACTGCTCAATTTTTCTTAAGACAAATTCCTCATCTGTGGAATCTAATCTAGTCAACCTCCTCTGAGCTGCCTCCAATGCAGCTATGTCTCTCTTCAAGGAGACCAAAATTGTATGCGATACTCAACGTGCAGGCTCGCTAATTCTATATACAGTCGCAGTAATACATCCATACTTGTATACTTTATTTCTTTAACGATTAAATGCTAAAATTCAATTTACGTTCCTTACTACTTGCTGTACCTGCATACCAGTTTTCTGTGGCTTATGCATGTGGGCACCCAGATCCCTCTGCAGTGAAGCACTCTGATCTTTGACTCCACTTGTTAACAAGTTGCTTTTCTATTCCTCTGAACAAAATGGATAATTTCACACTCATCCATGTTAAACTTATCTGCCAAATTTTGGCCCATATACCTAGCCTATCCATATTCATTTGTAAATTTCTTATTTCTTAGTTGCAATCCACTTTCCCACCTATTTTTAGTGTTATCTGCAAATTTTGCTACAGTACTTTCTATCTCTGCATTCAAGTCATAAATGTAGAGTCTACGTATTTGGGGCCCAAACACTGAACCCTTTGGTACCCCACTAATTACATCTGGCCAGAAAAAGACCCATTTATCCTGACTCTGCTTTCCGTTGATTACTCAATCTTCTATCCAAGTGAATAAATTATTCAAGCCCCTATGACCTTACCTTGTGTATTACCTTTTGTGCGGCACCTTATCAAATGCCTTCTGACAGTCCAGATATACCACATCTGCAGCGTCCCCACTATCCACCTTGCTTGTTACATGTTCAAGAACTTAAGTAAATCAGTCAAACACAACTTATCCTTCATAAAACCATGCTGAATCTGACGAAGTGAGTTTTGACTTTGTAATGTCTTATTATTGCTTTGATTCAGACAATTTTCCGATGACACGTTAAACTAACTGGTCTATAATTTCCTATTATCTGCCTTCCCCTCCCTCTTCTTTCCAATCCACTGGGACATTTCCTGCATCCAGGGAAATTTGGAATATTATAACTGATGGATCCACTATCTCTGTTATTTTTTTTAGTAATCCTTTCTTAATCTTTTAAGTTTCACAGTCTTCCAGCCTGCCACTAGTCTTTGACATATGGTATTCCTTAGGTTTTGACTTTATATTATCTTTAACTTGCTTGTTTAGTCATGGATGTTTCTTCTCCCCTTACAATCTTTCTTCCTTTCTGGAGCATATTTTGGGAACAGTTGAGTATCTACTTAAACAGCTGACACTGCAATCAATTGTCGTACCTTTTGCTCTTCCTGCCCAATCTATTCAGCCCAAATCTGTCCTCATGCCTGTTCCAAAACATATATTGTTCCAAGAAACAATTTCTCATACATTCAATGAACATTCCCTCTCAGCTACCTTTATCAATTTGATTAATCCAGTTCTAAATGCTGAATAAAATCACCCATGATTATTCATTTCTCACAAACCCCTAGTATTTCCTGGTTTATACCATGTCTCACTGCGCGACTATTTTTGGGGATCTCTCGATTACTTCCACCAGGAACTTCTTTCCCGTGCCATTTCTTATCTCTATCCAGGCAGATTCCAGGTCTTGATCACGAATGCTGATTTCATTTGTCATTATGGTACTCATGTAACCCTTTACTAACAAAGCTACACCACCTCCTTTTCCTTCCTGCCTGTTCTTCTGAAATACTGAATACCCTTGGAAATTCAACTCCCGAAAGTGGCCTCCTTGCAACTACATTTCTGTAATTGCCACCAAATCATACTCGTTTGTCTCTTTGCTAATTTTACTCCAAATTCCAAATGCTTCCAGATACAAAGCCTTTCGTTTTGATCTATTACCAAATTCCCAACTCTTATATGATTATTACTATGGATTAATGAATCTCATTATACATTAACAGATGTAAAGTAGTTTGTTCTGTGGCTTCCAAATGGGGTCGGGTGCAGAGCAGGGTGCTGGAGCAGGGGGTGTTTGAGTTAGATCATTAAGGTGGGTGGAGGTGTGTGTAAGGTAAGTATGGGCCTGTTAAATAGCTATTTATGAGTTAGACCATACATTAAATATTCTGACTTTTCCTGAGTAATTAGTTTACTTAATGTCATTGAAACAGTCTGAACTCTCCAAGTTAAATGGAGGCTTTCAGAGAGAACCAGGTTTCGAGAAATTGCCCACCAAAAAAACTCAACATCCTCTGCAATTCCTTTGGAGTGTGCTACAAATGGGATTGCTTAAAGTTGCCATGTGTAACTCCTATCTACACTGGAATAAACACAGTCTGGCCATTTGAAAATACAGGCTTTTGTATTTGCTGGGAAAGTGCAAGGGGTGAGGCTTCTCAAATGGGTCACCATATCTGCCTCATTCCCAGTCACATTCTCCTGTCCCTTAATTCAAATTAAATCTCTTCCTTTCTGAAACACCAGTGTCCAAAGCCTGGACTACAGTTCATCGTCTCTCAGTCAGAGTTCCTTTTAAAATACAGAAACTTGCTGCAGGTATGATTGTTGTGAATCAGACTAGTGTTGCCAGCCCTACGTGCTCCTACAGGTGCTCTGTAAAAATTGTACTCTGTAAAAATTGTACTCTGGTGAACTAACTCGTGTTTGTAAATTTCATGAAAAATTCAATTTCATTTAACAATGATCTGGTAGATTTCTTTAGTGTACATTCAGCATGTGTAAAATTGTAATTAGAACATATTTATAACTTTAATTATGACATACCGAGGAAATCCCCCTTCTCCAAAATGTGGTAGACATAAATGGTTTTAATATTAATTAACTCTATTGCAAGATCATTTTCATTTGTTTTGTCTTGAGTATTGATTTGTGGACAAAGTTATTGCTTTTGATTTCTGCATCCCTTTTCTCTTTTTAGGTAAGAACAGTTCTCAGGAAGCTGAGATAAACCATCTACAACACAAATTAGATGAACAAAGCAAGTCAATGTGTATAAATATGGAAAACCTTGAACAACAAATTTCTCATCTGAAGCAGCAACTTGACTCTGCTTGTAAGGGTATGAAAGAGAAAGAAGAAAGCATGGAACAGCTAAATATCAAAGGTCAAAAAATGACAAATGAAATTGAAGAACTGGAAAAAAGTATACAATTAAAAGAACAGGCATTTCAAGAACTGAAAGAGGAAAGTAATTCCCTGGCTCAGTGGAAGATGGAAAATATGCATGTTCTAAATACTTTTCAATGTGAAAAGGAGGTGATGAATAATAAAATTAAAGAATTAGAGCAAAATCTTGAAGTGAGTTTGAAAAAAAATCAAGAACAGGAACAGAGTCTAGAAGTTTATCAGCATACAAATGAAAAGCAATCAGAAAAGCTTAGGTCAGTTGAGGATGAAAAAGAGAATTTGCATCGCCAGACTGATAATCTCAAGCAAATTCTAGACAACAAAACTTCTGAGTTAGAAACACAAAAGCAGACCTTTGAAGAATTCATGAGTTCTTCAAAGCAGCAAGAGCAAAAGAATGGAAAGGAAATAGAAAACCTGAACTTGAGCATTTCTCAGCTCACAGCACAGATAGCTGAACTGGAGAAAAAATTGCAACAAGAAACTAACAAAGTTGTGAAACTTGAAGAGTCTCAGCGTATATTGATTGCTGATTATGAAAATGTCAGTAATCTGGTGAAGTCAAAAGAGTGCTTAATTGAATGTAAAGAAACGGAAATTTTGAATTTGAAGGACAACATTTTGCAGATCACAAATAATCTTGAAGAACAGCTTGCTAAAGTTGAAGCAGAGAAAAAACATATAATGCAGGAGTATGAAAAAGTTTTACTTGACAGTCTTGAAATTGAAAATACAAAGTCAACGTTAGAAATTTACCAACATGATATCTCCATCCTCAAGGAGCAGATTACTTCTCAAGAATCCTTACTGAAGCTTGAAAGACAACAACGATCTGAGATTGAGAACAAGTGTGAAGCTCTATTAAAACAGACAGAAGAATTTGAAGAAAAAATTGAGAAGAGAGAAAAGAAATATGTTGACTTGCAAATAGAAATGGAACAAGAAATTCATCAACTGAAACTGCAACACGACGAAGCATTGCAAGCTATCTTAGATGAGAAAAATAAATCTATTGAAAACATTGCACGAGAACTTGAGACCAATGCAAATAATTTGAAATGTTTGCAGGTAGCCAATGAAGAGTTAGAAGCAAAGTTGGAAGCTTGTCTTTTGTCTGAGAAGTGCATTCAGGAAAAAGATGAGTTAATTAGTTTGAAGGAAGAAGAACTCCTACAGCTTTCTAAGAGAAATGAAGAACTGAAAAACTCCAACAATACTTTGATGCAGGAAAATATAGAGTTGAACAAGGTGAATTCTAGTTTTGCTGATGAAATGAAAAGAAATGAAACAATGTTGCAGGAACAGACTAAAAAATATGAAGAAGAAGCTGCTACCAAAGAGAACTCACTCAAAGATCTTAAAACTCTGTGTGAAGAACTAAGTGTAAGTCAAAGATTTCTGCAGAACACAGTAGCAGACAAAGAAAGTGACATTAAGAAATTGCTGGAAAAGATGAATGAGAAGGAAACCAGGGAAGATGGGTTAATGCATCAGTATGCTGCATTAGAAGAAGAATTGAAACCTCTTCGTGAAAAATGCAGTGCTTTGGAAGAAAACAAAGATTTTTTGCAAATGCAGTTGCATGAGAGCTCACAGGAATTATTGGTGAGAAATACAGAAGCTGAGGAGCTGCAAAGAAAACATACTGAGTGTTCTACAGAATATAATGCCAAAATTCTAGACTATGAGGAAAGGATTAAAACGATGCTTGAGGAAATAGATGGTTTCAAGTTACAGCTGCAGAAGATGGAAGAAATTGATCGTTTAAAAAAGGAACTTTCTGAATCATATGCAAGACAAGACAAAATACTGGAAGATCACAATGAATTGCTCCAGGAAAAAGAACAATTAACACTCCTGTTAACAAAGAAAACTGAACAAGAAACCATTTTTGCAACAGAATTAGAAAAGCTTGAAAGTGATTTGATGAGAGTCCAGTCTGAAAATATTAACCACAGTAAATTAATTACAGAGAAAAATACTATTGCAGAACAATTGAAAGACACAATCATAACAAAAGAAATTGAACTTCAGAAAATTCAAGCTCGACTTCAGCTTCTCCAGATGGACCTTGAAGATAAAGAGGCTTCTTTAGAGTCTTATATTTCCCAAGTAGAACAAATGCAAAGTGAGATTAGCAGTGTGGAGAGTAGGTTTCAAAATAGTGAGGAGAAGAGGATTCTTCTGGAGAAGGAATTAACTTCAATGCAGACAGAGATGGAAAATGTGCATTTGAAATTTAATGAAAGTAAGAACCAAGAATCAGCTTTGCTGGAACAAATAACACTACAAAGACAAACAATTGAAGAGCTGCAGAGTAAATTTGATGAACAAAAAATGGATTTTGATCATCTCCATTCCTTGGAAATCCAGCTTGCTGAAAGCCAAGAATTGGAGAAGCAATGCAGCCTAAAAGAAGAGGAGATAAAGGAACTTCAGAAGAAACTGTGTCAGTCTGAACTTCGTGTAAATGAATTAATGAGTCAAAATAGTGATATTGCATCTAAAATGGCTTCTCAAGAGCAGGAGCTAAAAGCACAAATGCAAATTACTTTGAGCAGTATGGAGGTTGCACTGCAGCAGAGTGAGGAGCAAAGAGCACTTGTGCAGAAAGACTTGAGTAAGGTGCAGTCTGAATTATCAGCTATGAACTTGCATGTCATCGAAAGTAAAAGTCATAATAAAACTTTGATGGAAGAAATAACTCTGCAAAGGAAAACTGGTGAGGATCTGAAGAGTGAACTTGAAAAATGTAAAGAACAGGAAACACATCTCACCTCAATCGTGTCTGAGTTACACTCTCTTATTGCAGCTTTGGAAACTGAAAAAGCATTGCCGTTGACTAAAGTAGATTTAACAAACAATATTGCTATCCATGATACTCAAGAGTGCAAAGTTGTAAAAGAAGTAATGATTGCATCCCTAGAAGCTAGGCATCAAAACATTTCAGAAGAGAAAGAGATGGCTGATGTTGAAAATGATTCATCAGATGATAAGAAAAATCTTTTGAACACAATTGAAAATTCACCCAACTTGATTGTAAATGACCAAACAACCTTTTCTGTTGAAAATGATCACCTGATAATGAAGCCCGTGGAACTGGAAACTTGGCCTGTGACTTCTGAGCAGTCTATTACATTGCTCAGAGAAAAATTTCAAAAACAACAAGATGCTGCAGATCAAGAAACCTGGGATTTGCATCAAACCTTAATTGCAACAAGACAAGAACTTGAATTTCTGAAGCAACAGCATTCATCAGAAATTGAACAATGGCGGTTGAAGTTGACCAATCTAACAACTGAGATGGAAATAAAGTTGGCTGCACAGAGGCAGCAAACTGAGTTGCTGTCTACAGAGTTAGAAGGTGCGAGAGTCCAACTTCAGTCTCTGGACCTCAGTTCCCAATCATTGCTGTTTACTAGCTATCATCATGAAGAGAGTACTCCGCATAAGGTGAATAATAAAAATCAATATCATAGTAATGAAATATTGTAATATATAGTATATGGTTTACTGGTGAATAAATGTTAGTGTGTGGACCTGTTAAATTAAGTAAATGCCATAGCTCTTGAAAAATGTTTTATTGGTTCATGAAGCAATCTTGAACCAGACCCTCTAAACATGTCTTTCCTTGCAGCAGTACCAATCAAATGGCATTCAGAAATAGCAATCATAGCTTTATAAACCTTCCTTCTCAAGCGATCACAGTTAATTAGTCCCATTTGTGGTAGTTTTTCCATCACTCAATCTGAAATCAGTGAATCACAGCCTGTGAACTGTCTTTAGTACAATACAGAATGTGTATCTAACAATCTGAAATTTCATAGAATATTTTTTGTTTTGGCAAGCTATTGACTGGTTCCATATTTTCTACTCATCCTGCACTCAATATTGAAAATCTTCTTAACCGACATTCAACCCAAATAATACATACATTACTGAACTCATTTTAAAAACCTTTTGCCTTGGTTTTGCATGGAATTGGAACATTTTAAACACATGTACGGGTTTCAAAAGTACTGCCAATGTATGTATTTTAGAGGGAACATGATTACCTTTCATAGTACCCATCACTCATTCAGGACATCTCAAAATTACTTTCTAATATTTTAGAACGAATTTTGTCTAAAATGTAATAATATTAAAAAAAACCTAAAATGGCAGGCATAATTTAGTACTGTTGTTTCTTATGGGATCATTTTCTGTCCTTCTTTATGATTTGTATGTTGCTATATAATTGGTGTTTCATTCATATATCAAGTTTGGCATTACATACTTGAAACCGACAATTGACTATATTTTGTTTATAAGGATTGATGTGTTTAAATTACAACTATTTTTATTTTTCAATTAAAGCTTATTGATTCAAAGAAACACCAAACAGAGGTGATGATCATCACTGATCAATTGGGATCTGTCAGCAGACAAAATGTGTCCCCTGATTCTAATGTACAATGGGAGAAACAACCCAGTTTACAATCTGGAACAACAGGAGAAAGCCCTGTATTTTCCAAGGACTACACCATTTACTTTGATAATACTAAGAATGTAAGCAAGGACGTTGATAATGAATTGAATGAAAGCAACACAAAAGAACAGTGCATAGTTCAATCAACACAGTTAGGTAATGATGAAGTTAGTGGCCCAGTGGAATGCCAATCAATCCATGAAACCTTTGTTGGATCTCTGTTACAATTGGACCAGGAGTCTGGCCAAATACTTCATCTGCTTCCAAATGAAGAAAATAAGAAAATAACTGAAGAGCTACTCAGTGAGATGGAGAATTTGCGTAGCAAGCTAGATATCAATCAAAAAGAACTATTTAACAAAACTGCTGCTTACACTGAGTTAGAAAAGAAAATGCTCATCTTTGAAGAAAAGAAGCTCCAACTATGTAATGAATTGAAGTTTTCTACTCTTGAAAATCAAAATCTTCGAGACAAAGTAAATGATTTGGAAGAGCAGCTCAAAAATATTACATTACAGCTGAATCTTGATAAAGGTAAATTGCCTGAGGTGACCAAGGTGTTGGAAAGCCCAGAGATGAATAAAACAGACAGGAATGAACAATTCCTTCAACTAGAAAATGAACTGAAGCGAGCAAAATCAGATAAAGCTAACCTGGAAAAACACATTCTTGAAATGGAAGTTGATCTGGATGAGTTGCAGAACAGAAAGCAGTTGTTAGAAAAAGAACATGAATCAAGTCAAAGGACCATTTTCATTCAGGCAGAAAAGCTGAATGAGCTTGAAACAGAAAATACTGGAGTCATTCAGGAGATTAGTACTCTAGCTGAGACAAATAATGAATTGGAGCAAACTAGTAAAAAGTTGAAGGAAAAAGTTCAAGATCTTGAAGCAGAGAAAATCTACAATGTTAATACAATCCGGATGCTTGAAGCTGAAGTAAAGAAACTAACCAGTCAGCGACAAGCTCTTGCTGAACAAATGGAGAAAAATTCAAAGGAAAAGGAAAGCATAATCCAGGAAATTGATTGTTTGGAAAATAATTCAGTGTTGGATAGAGAAGGTAAGGAGAAATTAGAACAAGAACTAAATCTGTTGAAGAAGGAAAACTTATCCATCCTAGAGCAAACTGAAGCTCTGCGGAGCAAGTTTAATGCAGTAGAGCTTGAAAAGTTGAAACTACTCCAGTCTTTGGAGTTCTCTAAATCAGAAAAAAGTGAAATTGCAACAAGGTTGAACTCTACCAAGGCAGAAGTAGCTGAAATGCGGCATGCTATTGAGAAACTTAAAATACGCATTGAAGCAGATCATAATAAACATCAACAAATGGCTGAAAAACTTAAAATCAGTGAACGAAAAACAGACTCCCTTCAAGACAAGGTTGAGGCACTTGAACGGGAGCTTCAGGTCTCTGAAGAAAATATGGAGCAAATGGTATTAGAAGCTGAAACTGCAAAGGAACAGGTTGAAATATTAAAGGAAGAGAAGGAAATGATTACTGAAAATCTGAAGCGATTGAAAATGGACCTCCATTCCTTAAACTCTGAGAAACAAATTTTACAGAAGCAACTGCAACAAAGTCAGGAAAAATTAGAAACTCAGTGCTCACATTTGGCAAGAAATTCTGAAGCAGCTGAAAATGAAAAAGTCAAAATGACAGAAGCCTATGAAAATTCTGTTAGTGAGCTACAGTCTCACATTTGCCATTTAAAGGAAAGGATGAAAATCTGCCAAGAAGAGTTGGAAAAATTGAGAGAAAATGAGAAAAATTACCTCAATCAAAATTCACATTTGGAATGTGAAAATATTCAGCTATCCAACCAACTTTGTAAAACTGATGAGCTAAATGTGGAGCTAAAATCTACAAATACAATACTAAGTAAAGATCTTCAAATTATTCAACAGCAGTTGAATTTGCATACAGAAGAGAAAGAGAAACTTCAGCAACAGATTATAGATCTGGAGCAATTGAAGCAGAAAAATTCTATGGCTTTGAGTAATTTGCATATTGAGGTGGAGAACTTAAAGAGAGAAAGGAACAACTTACAGACAGCAGTAGTGGAATCTCAGCAAGAAGCGCAAGATTTGACATCCAGGCTAACGATAGTGCAAAACATGAAGGAAAATTCTGAGAATCAACTACAAAATGAACTACAGGTTGCACATTTGCAAACTACTACACTTCTTGATCAGGTATAATAATTTCAACAAAATACTTTATTAGCTCTTTGGTTTAGATGATTTTGTTGTTAATCACAAACATTACATCCACGTTTAATGTTCTTTCCCAAATTCTTTTCAAAATCCTTTTGAATTAACATGTCCACTTTAACTTTAACTTTATGTCTTCACTGCATCCTGTCATTTGAATACCAATTTTGACTCTGTGTTAGCATTATAGAGTCATGGAAGCAGATTCTTCGGAACTATGGAAGTACGGAAACGGACTCTTTAGCCCTACTCATCCATACTGATCAGGTTTCCTAAATTGAACTAGTCCCATTTGCCTGTGTTTGGCCCTATTCCAACTAAAACCTTTCCTATCCATCCACTTGTACAAATGACTTTTAAATGGTGCAATTGTACTGGCCCTATCACTTCCTCTGGCAGCTCGTTCCACATATGCATGCCCCCTTGTGTGAAAAAGCTACTAGTCAGAGCCCTTTTACATCTCTCCCCTCTCACCTTAAACCTATGCTGTCTAGTTTTTTAGACTTTCCTACCCTGAGGTAAAGACTTTGGCTATATCTATGCCATATCTATGCTCTTCATGATTTTATAAACCTCCATTACGTCACCCCTCAGCTTGTTATGCTTCAGGGTAAAAACTCCCAGCCTATCCAGCCTCTCCTTATAACTCAACAAATCTTCCAGTCTCGGGAACATCCTGTAAATCTTTTTTGCACGATTTCCAGTTTAATAAAATCCTCCCTATTAGCAGGTTGACCACAATTGTACCCAGTACTCCAAACGTAGCCTTACGAATGTCTTGTACAGCCATAACATGATGTCCCAACTACTGTACTCAGTGCTGTGACCAATGAAGACAAGCCCGCCAAATCCTTCTTCACCACCCTGTTTACATATGAAGCCACTTTCAAGCTACTATATACCTGCACCCTAGGTCTCTCTGTGTGCCAACATTCCCCAGGGCCCTACCATTAAGTGTGTAAGTCCTGCCCTGATTTGTCTTGCCAAAATGCAACACCTCACATTTATTTTAAATTATACCAGCCCACTGACCCAGTTGATCAAGATTGTTCTTTCAGAATTTATATTATCTTTATTCTTCAACTACCCTGGAACTTTCAACATAGATTTATCAATTTAAATGGAGTTTAATTTTTAAATCTTTGTATTTATTTTATATTTTATTTGATAATATTAATTTACTGCATCCCTGTAAAAATGTTATAGTAAATAATAGCACAAATATCTCCTAGTGTTGCTGTTAACTAAGATGTTTTCAAATTTTACATTTTTGAATATTGAATGGCCTGCAATGTTTTCAGTGCTTTTTAGTTATCATTGCCAAATTCTGGAGTCGCAATTTTTCTTTAACAAAAATGCTTACAAATTAAGGAAATCACCATTAAGTGAATCAGCAAATATTGTAATCCACATCAATACAAATATTAATAATCATATTCATACAACATCAGCATTTTGAGTTTAAGTATTGGTTTGCCGTATACTTTTAAAGCACCTTGGAACATGATTGCTACTTACCTCCTAAGTTCCCAGTTTTTGCCCATCACCTGCAAGCCATGTGTCAGGAGTGTGATGGATACTTGCACAGATGAGTGCAACTCAAACAACACTCAAAAGGGGGTGCAAATCAAACAAAGCAGCTTGTTTGATTTGCACCCCCATGAACGACCTTCAATATTCACTTTCCACCACTGATACACAGTGGCAGCAGTATGTACCATCTACAAGATACACTACACTAACTCACCAAGTCTCCTCCAACAGCATCTTCCAGACCTGCATCCTCTATCACCTAGACAGGCACAGACAGCCAATGCATGGGAATGCCATCATCTGCAAGTTCCCTTTAAAGCCACACATCATTCTGACTTGGAATTAGATCACGTTCCTTCATTGTGCTGGGTCACAATCTTGGAACCACGTCCCTAACAACATAGTTGATGCACCTATTCCCAAGGCTCTGCAGCAGTTCAAGAAAGGAGCTCAATACCACCTTTGTAAGGTCACTTAAGGATTGGCAATAAATGCTAGCCTAGCCAACCACAACCACATTCTATCAGTGAAGAAATAAAAAAAATGAGAATTTATGTTTTGATAAAGGAGGACATAACAGTGCTTGGAGAGAATATTCTTAAGGGGTCATAAATGAGGCCATATGGTTAGAACTTAGAAGCAAGAAGAGGATGCTCACACTGTTGGGACCGTATTATAGACCCCCAAGTAGCTAGTGGATACAAGAGGAGCAGATGTGTAGAGAGATTGCAGATACCTATAGGAATAATAAGTAGTATTGGTTGGAGATTTTAATTTTCCTTGTACTGACTGGGCCACCCAGAGTCAAAGGCTCGGATGGGGTAGAATTTGTCAAATGTGTCCAAGAAAGTTTCTCAAATCAATATGTAGAGGGCCCTACTAGGTCCAGTGTTGCACCTTCCCTCTTAAGAAATGAGTTCGGGCAAATGATTGAAGTGCCAGTTGGAGAGCACTTTGGGTCCAGTGACCATAACTCTCAGTTTTAACATGATTATGGAAAAAGATAGGACAGGTCCACAGATTAAGGTGCTGAACTGGAACTGGGCCAATTTTGGGGCCATTAGACAGGATTTAGCAGAGGTCGATTGGATGAGTCTGTTTGAAGGAAAAGGAATGACTAGCAAAAGGGAGGCTTTTAAAAGTGTGATATCAAGAGTCCAGGGACAGTATGTCCCTGTGATAGTAAAGGGAAAAGCTGGCAGGTTTAGGGATCCCTAACTGACGAGTGATATTGAGGCTCTGGTCAGGAAAAAGAAGGCATGCATTGGGTTTAAGCTATTGTGCTCAAGTGAATCCCTAGATGACTGTAAAAAGTGTAGGAGTACATTTAAGAGGGAAATCCAAAGAGCAAAAAGAGGGCATGAGATGGATAAGACAGATGAAGTTAAAGATAATTCCAAGAGGTTCTGTAGCTACACTAAGAGGGTGGCTAGGGAGAGAATAGGTCCCCTTACAGATCAGCGTGGCTGCCTATGTGTGGAGCCACAGGAGATGGGGGTAGATTTTTAATGAATATTTCTCCTCGGTGTTTATTGAGGAGAGAATCATGGATGCTAAGGAAATAAGGGAAACAAGTAGGGATGTTTTGGACCGCATACATATTACCAGAGCATAGATATATGTGCGGGAAGTCATGTCTCACAAATCTTTTATAGTTTCTCGAAGATGAAACCAAGAGGATAGATGAGGGTAGCGCAGTGGATGTTGTCTTTATGGATTTTAGCAAAGCCTTTGACAAGGTCCCACATGGCAGACTAGTCATGAAGGTTAGGTCGCCTGGGATCCAGGGAGAGCTAGCTAATTGAATTCAAAATTGGCTTGGTGGTAGGAAGCAGAGGATGATGGTTGAAGGTTGTTTCTCGGACTGGAGGCCTGTGACTAGTGGTGTGCCACAGTGGTCGGTGCTGCGACCTTTGTAATTTGTTATTACATAAACGATGTGGATGTAAATGTACAAAGTATGATTATTAAGTTTGCAGATGATACAAAATTAGGTATCATTAATAGCAAGGAAGGTTATCAAAAATTACAGAGGGTTCTTGCTCAGATGGGGAAGTTGGCTGAGGATTGGCAAATGCAGTTCAGTACAGATAAGTGTGAGGTGTTGCACTTTGGAAAGTCAAACCAAGGTAGGACTTATACAGTAAATGGTAAGGTCCTAAGGAGTGTTGTGGAACAGAGGGACCTAGGAGTACAAGTACATAGTTCATTGAAAGTGGCATCACAGGTGGACAGGATGGTGAAGAAGGCATCTAACATGCTGACCTTCATCGGTTGAGGCATTGAATATAGGAGTTGGGACATTATGTTACAGTTGTGTAAGTCGTTGGTGAGGTCACACTTGGAGTATTGTGTACAGTTTTGGTCACCCTGTTATAGGAAAGACATAGTTAGACTGGAAAGTATGCAAAGACAATTTACGAGGATGTTGCCAGGACAAGTAGGCCTGAGGTATAGGGAGAAGTTGGCCAGGATAGGACTTTGCTCCTTGGAACGTAGGAGAATGAGGGGTGACATTATTGAGGTGTATAAAATCATGAGGGGCATAATAGGATGAATGCATATAGTCTTTTAAGAATTAAGAAGGACGTGAGGGCAATTTCTTCACGCAGAGAGTGGTGCGTTTTTGGAAAGTGGTTGAGGCAGGCACAGTAGCGACATCCAAAAAAACATTTGGATAGGTACATGGGTGGGAAGGGTTTAGAGAGATGTGGACCAAATGCGGGCAATTGGAACTAGCTGAGTGGGCACCATGGTCAGCATTGATCAGTTTGGGCCAAAGGGCCTGTTTCCATGCTGTATGACTCTGATTCTGTGTGCAAAGGGGCTTTAAAACTAGAATGAAAACCAATACTGAGCGCAAAAGGGAGCGATTAAGAGGGTGATCAATCAAACAGATCTAGAAATTGGTCATCATAACAAGGCTGTAGACTCCGTAGTCTGGGGTACAACTGACTATATCATTTAGACACAAAGAAATATACTCTGTACCCGTATGGTCATGAATTTATTAGGGTAGTTTTTAAAAGGGGAGAAAGGGAAAGAAAATTGGTTAGAGGTGGAAATTTAGAGAGGGAATGTGGGCAGCTAAATACTTACTGGGCAGATTTTTCCCTTGCCAGAGACGGTGAGAAGGGGAGATAATTATTCAACTGTGCCCTGGAAACCCACCCTTTCTAACCACCTCTGCAATTAAGTGATCAGAAAAAAGGTCCATGGCTGGTTTTCTGGACTTGCTAACAATTAAGAGCTTCAACTTGCCACCTCTATCAGCTGCCTTCCCAACTGAGAAATCATGATAATCTGTCTACTCATTCGGTGAGGGGCCTCCCATAGCCCTGATCTGGGGTCAATTGGAGACATGATGGCAGTCAAGGGGGTAGTTTCTGAAAGCCACTTGCCTTTCCTTGCTCAAAGTCCCCTCTCTCCATACCCCACCCCACAAGAAGAAAACTTACCTTCTCACTGTTAGTCAATAGTGTAGAGGCCTGTGATTGAGTGAGATACTCAACCTCATTTGCTTTGGTGAGTTGAATGGCAGGCAGTCTGAGTTATCTCACCAGTTTGGGGTGGTATGTGAGTCACCACTTAACATGTTACCCCATACTTCAAAAGAAAACGGAAACTTCCAACCAATGCTATAATAACCAACGAAAAGAATTTTGAGAGATGCATGAGAGCATTTGTTGTTCCCTGACTATGTGAAAACAGAACTTACAGTTTGTAACATAGTTTACTTTTTGAACATGAGTGAGTACAAAAAAAATGCCATTATTGGCCTCCTGCAAAACAGATCCATCATGTCAATGTTCCCATTTAACTGTTTTGCAAAATATAAAAGCAGTTCATTCATCCTTGTTTTCACCCCTTTTAAATCTTAATTTTCTCTACATGACAGGCAAAGATTAAGGAATTAGTTTTATGAATATTCTGATTTGCTGGTTTTTAGAATGGGAATGGAAATTTATTAGCTCAGATATTACATTTGTATTGACTGCAAAAAAACTGTTGCCACTCGCCATTATTGCATTGTAAAACTGACAGTTGCTTCTGCTGTCCACATGTACAGTTAAATGAAATCAAAAAAAATGTTTGCCCATTTTACCCCTCCTCCTTCGCAGGATACCCTATTAAAGTGTGGCTGTTGTGGCATAGTGATTGTGTTTTTATCTCTGAACCAGGAGGCCTGTGTTCAAGTTCCACCTGCTCCAGAGGTGTGTAATAACATCCCTAAACAGGTTAATTAGATTAATAGTGTACTAACTAATAACAGGTGCTGGATATCCTGTTTTCCCTAATTTTATAATGTGTAATGCCAAATCTTTCCATTAGATTAATTCCATAATTTTCAATATTATCACATGTCACTGGAGTAGCATACTGGAAATCAAGCCCTGATATTCCTGCAGAAATAAAAACTTATCAAAGTGCCCAAAATTTCTCAATTTACATGTCTTTAGACCCAGGTTGACAAAAAGCACGGGCAGGATTCTGTACTTAACATGAATTACTAGTTATTGAAAATAAATTCTAGGTATAGGTGAACAATTGTGCACTGTCGATACAAAACTCCACCGGTAAAAGTTTAATTACCATATAAAACTCCCCTTACATGCACGCTACAGGCACACACACAAAATGAATTGGTGTTAAGGGTGAGGGAAAATCTGGGAAGGCAATTCAATCATCCCTGTCCACAGTGTTTGCTGAGGTGATCCTTTTGGCTTGCCAGGACATGCTGCTCCATGATCTCCCTTTTCTAGGTACTTTCACTTGCTTACAGGAGGCACAAATGGCTAATTAACAACTTATAAAGCTTTGACTTATTGCTTAAATGCAACACCATACAGCAACTGGTTAAGGAGAATAAACTGGCTTTCCTCAGGTTTCAGGTGGTTTTTTTTTTGTTACTGCTGAGAAAAAGGCACCACTTCCCCTACTGGAGGTCCAAAGGATTCTGGGCATACTATTAATTCCCATAAGTTGTTCAGCTACTTTGGAGCCAATCGCACAGTTATGGGCAGGCAGAAGGCCTTTGTCATCAACAATTGGCCGCAACACCAAAAACCAATCAGCTATTTGTTGCTGGCCAAATCTCACTTTGTATGCATCCTCTGGTGCCAGTTTGCTAGCAAAATAAAAGATGCAGTATTTACAACATTTTTAAATTTATGATATTTCAGTCTCTGATATGAAGTACGTTTGGTTTGGCTTCTTTAAAATTGATGTAAATTAAAGGCTGTTTGGTCCATTATTCTTCCTGTGTGATAATTCTCCAGTTTGATTGGTAATATTGATGTTGGTAGATGCCTAGTGATTTGAAATTTGATCAACGGTGAAGTTAACTGTTTCACACCGCCACCAGGCAGGAGCAACATAAGAGGTGTTCACAATGAACAGAATGGTGCTGTCAAGCCAAAATAACGTTTTGGCTATCACTTATTTAAGTACCATATCAAACAGCATGTCTTCAACATAATGTATCCTTTTTCAACAATTTTGATATTAGTGCAAATTGTGTATCATTAATATATTATCAGTTGGAAAACCAATCAATAAGCGTCCGCAAATGTTATAACATTTAGTTTAATGTCTTGTAGGTTCGTGATCTTACAGAGAATAACCGTAAGCTGCAGGATGATTTATCTGTGGCCAGTGAAAAGATTCAGAAAATGCAGCAGGAATTTGATGCAGAGAAGAATTTGATCTCAGCACAACTTGAAGAATTCAGGAATCAGACAGAAAACATTAAGGTTCAGTATAAGAAAAAGTCCAAGAATTCATCATTTGCCAAAGATCAATATTTTCACAATTCTAATCAGCAAAACGTGTAAAAAGTCTCACTATTCTTTGTGAAGCTACATTGTTGCAGATAGGATGAGAGAAAATTGTTGAAACCCCTATTCCTTTCCAAACTGTCCGCAATCAATAATCTTTCGAAAGGAGGGTGCGTGTGTTTTTAACCGATGTGTGTGGATAATTTGTGAACCGGCAGCAAGCTTTTTACGTGTTTAGAGGTATAAGATTTGTTTGTTTGTTTGTAAGTTCATTCTGGCACCTAACGCTACAACACTCACTCAAAATCACACATACAAGGAGGGTACAGTCGATGAGAATAGTGCACTTTTACAGGTTATAAGCAAAAGAATAGTTAATTATTCACATGATTGTCTTGTTCTGGAAAACACACATTGCAGGCCTGATGAAGAAGACGTCTTCATTCCTAAAGCATAGTTTAGGTGAATTCAACAGCCGAAGCCACGTGCCAAACTCGTTTCAGGATTCTGTCGAAGGGATGGACTTACTGCAGGTCTCGAAGTTAGTTGCTTGTAGTCTTGTTACTGGGGTCAGTTTACTGGATTGGTGGACCCATAAAGGATGCACAGATGTTCTTGCCCTTTCTGCTGCTGCCGTATCTTATGTTCTGCAGTCAGCATTTAAAGATTGAAAAGGGATAAACATAGCTGCTTTATTGCGACAATCTCTCAACTTCAGTTTCTTTTCCAAATATAGTGTGGTCTTTGGTTGATTAGCCATGTTTTTTTTTTAAAGACGCTCACCCTGAGGGAAATTATGTTGATCAGCACCTTTGTTTCGAAGGAGACCCATTCAATTTGAGAATGCTTTTTCATGTTTTCAGAATATGTGTGATTAATATCCTTTCATTTTGGATGTTCTCTTCTCTATTGGACAGTGAGTCAGTTTTTAAATACACAAGTCAGATGATCCAATCTTCAGTGACCATAGAAACAGAGTAGGAGTAAGCCATTCGATTCTTCAAGCTTGCCCCGCCATTCAGTATGATCATGACTGATTATTCACTTTAGTATACTGTTCCCACTTTCCCACTTTCTCCCCATTCGCTTTGATCACTGTAGCCCTAAGAACTATATCTAGTTCCTTCTTGAAAACTGCTCTGTGTTGAGAATTCCCCAGGCTTACTACTCTCCATGTGAAGAAATTTCAAATCTCACTCCATCTTTGCATCTCATTCTCCACTTGTTAAGGGAAAAGTCAATTTCAAGAAATCCACATTGATAAAGTTTGTTCATTGAAAGTTAGGAGTATGACATCTTTATTGGGCATAAGAGCAAAGATAATTTTGGCTCAAGAGGTTCTTCAACTTAGTCAAAATGGCATCCATGGCCCAATTTCAGAAGTCCCACCCCCAAACTCATATCCACTAATTTCTCTGTAGAAGGGAAGGGGAGAATGTGATTGAGTTGTACTTTGCACTTCCATAGTTCACAGAAGCTGCTACCTACGGGAAAAAGTCTTCACTGAGATATAATTTTTGCCACCCAGGTTTCTGTGATGCAACTTAAGCGTTATACTTTTCAGGAGAAGATCTAAAATTACTGGAGTTCTTTGGGAGGTAGGGTACCCTTTTAAAGAGATGAGAGACCTTACTGTATAAGTCCAGGGAAACCTTCGGAAAGGTCAATTTCCCCTTTTGAATTGTTAAAAGTTGGTATGAAAATTTGTGAAAAGTAGATAAAGCTATTTAAGCTGGCAAGGTATTTAAATCCCATTGGAATTGTCAAGCCATTGAGGCATTAAAGTCTCTTGTCCTTTAAATTGAAACATCTGCAATTTTAAAATAAAAATGAGTGCTTTCTTTAACACTGTGTCTGTTGACATAAATCTGAGGGATATTTTTATAGGCTTTATGCTTCAACTAATTTCACAACCTATCATTAAAGTTTGGTACCGGTCAGTTCACAGTTTGATTGTTCAAAAGTGTTTATGTTCAGGGTTATGAGTACAAATGTTTTTATACATTTTTATTTTCTGATAAAAGATGATGTACTTGAATGAAATGTGTGATTTTTGGAAGGGATTAGATAGTTTTAAATAATTTGCACATAGTGAATGAGATTTTATCACTGTCTGTAAGGAAAGCTTAGAACATGCCAAATTCAGCATGACTCCTGAATTCTGCCTGTGGTGGATGCTGGGTTGGCATGGATGATGTCAGGTAAATGTGTTTATGATTGTCTATAGGTTGATATAAGGGTCATGAAAAGTGGGCAGAGGGACATAGGTTGGCATAGGTAGTGTGAGGGGTCATTCTGGGGTGGGTAGGGGCGTAAGTTTGCATCAGGAGTACAACAGGCAGTGAGGTGGTTGCGGCATGAGTTGTTTTGATGGAGAATGTGGAGACATGTGAAAGGTGTGCAGGCTGTTTTTTTTTTTTTTTTGCTTTGTTTTTTGTTTCATCTGCTCTTACAACTGGATTTTTTTCTATGCATCTAGGAGTCACATTGCTATGGCTGCCTGTGCACTATTTTCGGGGGAGGTGTGTTTGATTTCTGTTAATCATCTGCCCACCCAGAGTGAAATTCAGAGCATCAAGATCATTTTCTCCTGAGTCGGGTTTGTGGAATCAGGAATTTTTCCAACTTTAGGAGTAAAAATTGAGCCCTCGTTGCAAATTTATTTTTCTCTATTCAAAAGAGATAAATGAGCACGAGTATTATCCTATTATAATACAGAATGTGGCTTGAAATGTACAAAAGCAATATTTTTGTGATAAATTAGCCATGCCATATATGTAGGGGAACAGGAAGGCTTTGAGTCCATGGTCTTTAACATGAACAACATTCCTTTTTTGTGACAGGAGAAAAATATCTTTTTTTTTTGTATCATGAAAAATCAATTAAAATATGGGATGTAATTATAGACAATAATGTAGACATTAGTTTTGGAAGTGATAATTTAATTGTGATTGTTTCTATTTTGAAATTGATTTTATCTCTAGTTGCAGCTAGAAATCTGTGAATCAGAAAAATACAAGTTAGAAAAGGAGGTTGAATATTTTCAGAATGAACTACAGATCACTGATGTCCTGAAAAAGGAACTGGATGAACATAAACTAAAACTAAAATGCATTCAAGGAGAACATGAAGCTGTGCTTAAAGATTTACAGGATCAGGTAATTTCTTGCACCAAATCAGTTTTGATAAAAAGGTTTTGTGCTAAGACAAAGATCAAACTATTAATTTTGTGTTCAGTATTGGAAATCTTTCAAAATATAACCCTTTGTCCGATCATCCCAGTGCTTAACATCTCAAATTGCTTTTAGAACATAAATACTGTCAGATTCAAAATTAGAACTATTTTGTATGAGCAAAGTTCTATAAAATGTAACGAGAGGAATGAACTTACCATATCTGGTTGCTACCAAATATAATTATGATGTAAGGTGACCCCAAATATCATCATACATGGAATCTACTCTTCTCCAGAACAATGAAGTTGGTCAATGCTATTGAATTTCTTCCTCTTTCTATTTACACTCAGAGTCTTCCAGTCTTTAATTGTCGTTCCTCTTAAGCCCTCTGACATTTGGTTTTCTTTTTGTGTCTCAATGATAATCCCCAAACCAAAGTTTGTTGTGGAACGCTGAGCACATAATCCAGGCTGGAACCTCAGTGGAGTATGGAGGAAATGGTGCACAGATAAGTTAATTCAGAGGCCTATTCAGTAATTCATTGGAGAGGATGCGATCTCGTAGCACTATTCGGGAAAGCGCATGGGAGCTTTCCCTGTTTCCAGCCAAATATTTATTCTCATAGACTTGTACAGCACAGAAATAAACCCTTCGGTCCAACCAGTCCATATCGACCATAATCCCAAACTAAACCAGCCCTACTTACCTGCACATGACTGATGTCCCTCCAAACATTTCTTAATAACTGAGAAATCTAGAAGTAAGCCTGAATCTCAGGAGCAACTGCATGATCCTTGCTACTCTCAGTCCACCATTTGTGTTCATGTATATCTCTCTGATTTGTGGGCACATTTCTGTGTAAGAAACTGCAAGATACAATTGCTTGGGTCATGGTTAGAAGTAGAATATGGTCTGGATTTTATGCCAAAAAAGGTTTTAACGGTAGGGGTATCAACCAACAGCAGAAGAGGCCCCCACTAAGAGCTGGCAATCAGCAGTGGATTACGCTCCTTAAATGGGCCTCTTGGTTCCATCAGAGTGCCCCTCCCAAAGTTTTTATCTCCCCACACAAGACCTTCCCTCAATGGCATCTCAAACTTCAGCTCTTCATCCTCTCTACCATCCTGAGAGGATCCTGCCATCTTGACAACTGACAAGATACTGCAGGTTTCTGATAAAAATTCTGGGGAGTTGCTGATCTCTAATTGCCTGCCAACTCTGCCTTAGACAGGACTTGCTCTCACTAGGTAGAAGTTGTCCATCTCAAATCTATTAATAGCCGATTAGCAATCATCTTGGCATTCTTCACCCCAATCCTTTAGCTAGGGTGGGGGTGCCAGGGAATCTGGTACATTGTGAAGAGGCTCTGCTTATTGCTGTACTTGTTGAATGTGGACTTCAGGCATAGGATAGTTTTGCATTCTAGAAATGGATTACAATCTGTTTGAATACAGTGAGTATGAATTTGCATTCCACACTCTGGAATGAATTGGCAAAGTAGTGAATTATTTGCTGCACCTGAAACTTTGAATGCAATAGACTAACGTAGAGGTTTTAAAATTGCCTCTTGAACTTGGAAGGGTCAGGAATAAGCTTACCTTCTGTTTGTCAAATGAATACACTAATTTCATACTTGTTCTTCATTAGACATTCAGGCTGGAAGATTTTTGTTTGCGTCTTTGCTTGTGATACATTGAGCATGCTACAGGAGTTTTCAGTTCCTGCTTACACCTGACCTCTTAGTTAATCATGAATAATCTGAGTTAAATGCTGCTTCAGATTGACCGGATTTTAAGTATTTATTTGAGAAATTCTTTGAAATAATATTGCTCCTGCATACAGTTTTGCTGGTTCCCCGTGTGATGTATCATTTCTCATTCTTTGAAATGAAGTGGACAAGCTCCTTCATCATAGAAGATGTGAATTCTGAGTTGTCTAAGAAAATAAATAAGCTTTTGGTTGGTGAGGATACTGAAAGCCCAAAGAAAAATATTTTTCTTTATAGTTTATTCAATATTCTATTTAAGTGAGATATAAATAGTTATGTTTAGTTAACTAGCAATCAAAATTAGACTGGTGTAAATCATTTATTGAAATTTGTTGAGATTTAATTGTAACAATCATTTAAAATGTTTTGGACTTTTCCAAGATGAATGCTTGTTTGCTATTATTTTTGATTTATTTTACTTTATCAGCATTAGTATTAATGTCAGAGTACTTTGTACATGCTTAGACTAAACAATTTGATGGATATTTCCTTACCAAGTGCTGTCTCTTAATTTGTTAGCATGAAGTTCAAGTACAGTCGTACCAAAAGAAAATGGTCGAAATGGAATTACAGCTCACTGCACAAGACATGGAAATCAACAAAATAAAGGTTGCAAAAGAAGAAATCAATGTTGCCTTTAAAGATGCCATCTGCAAGGTAAAACAGTGAAATCTGACCACATGCAACATTCTTCTGTAAATGTAAACTGATCTCTGTTAGGAGTGGTTAAATTGACCAGGGCTTTTTTAGTGCACAAATTCTGAGTTTCTTGCATTTGTGCGCATGTCCATATCAAACTGTGATAGCTAACCAAAGAGTACAACGTTAACTAGACATTCTTGTCAATTTTTGGGAAATTAAGTTATAAACCTAGCATATTGGTTTCAAACCATATTCAGCTCAGTCCTTTGGAAAATTGCGTGAATATATTTCGTGTATTACACAAACCCTTAAATGCACACACACCCGGTGCCTCCACTGTCATGCATCAAATCTGGCTAACTATTTCTTAGATTCCTAGCACACAGCAACGTTTAAAGTAGACATTCAACAGATTTGTGTTAATTACATATTGAACTAGACAATTAATAGGTTGGCAGCAGCTCAGGTACAATCATTTCAGCAGAACCATTACACCAGCTCTTTGATTTAGATGGTTCTTTTGTTAATCATAGCCATTATATTTACATTTAATGCTCTTCACCATTACATACACAAGTCTACATTTCAGTTTTCAATTTTAGTTTAGATAAAACAGAACCTTTTTCCGATCTTTGCTTCCTCCAGTTCAGCAGATCTGGGCCTCACACCTTGGGAAAGATATCTTGGCCTTAGAGGGGTACAGTGTAGGTTTACAAGAATGATACTTGGACTTCAGGGATTAAGTTATAAAGAGAGATTATGTAAATCAGGCCTCTAGAATTTAGAAGATTAGCAGGTGATCTGATTGAAGTCTTTAAAATATTAATAGGAAAAGACAAGGTGAACTATTTCCACTAGCTAGAGATTCTAGAACTAGGGGGCATAGTCTACAAATTAGGGCAAGATCATTCAGGACAAATGTTAGAAATCATACACAGGGTGGTAGGGGTCTGGAACTTTCTTTCATAATCAACACTTGGTGGTAGATCAGATGTTAATTTTAAATCTGAGATAAATAAATTTTTGTTAAGCAAAGGTATCAAGGAATATGGGCCAAAGATGGGTATTTAGCCAGAGATTAGCCATGATCTCATTGAATTGTGGAACAGGCTCGATGGGCTGAATGATGTACTCCTGTTCCTATGTTCCTTTAACTCCCAAACTTGGATCAGTGCGATCATTCCTTCGTGATTTACCCTTTTTGTTTTGATTTATTATTATTATTATTATTGTCATATGTACCAAGGTACAGTGAATAGTATTGTTTTGCGTGGAAGAGTGTGTAACTGGGGTGGGAAGGGTTTTTGATTATGTCAGCTGCTTTCCTGAGGAAGTGAGAAGTGTAGATGAAGTCATTGGAAGGAAGGGTGGTTTGCATGATTCACTGGTCTACGTTTACAACTGTCTGTAATCTCTTGCAGTCTTGAGCAGAGCAGTTGCCATACCAAGCTGTGATGCATCCAGATAGGATGTTTTCTATGGTGTATTTATGAAAATTAGTAACAGTGATTGTGGACATGCCAAATTTCCTTAGCCTTCTGAGGAAGCAGAGGTGTTGGTGTGCTTTCTTGACTGTAGCATCGACATGGATGGACCAGGACAGATTGTTGGTGATATTTTACTCCTAGGAACTTTAAACTCTCAACTACCTCCAGCACACCACCATTGATATGGATGGCCGTGTCCTCCACTCTGCTTCCTGAAATCAACGACCAGCTCCTTCATTTTACGGACATTGAGGGAGAGATTGTTGTTTTTACACCATTCCACTAAGCTTTCTCTCTCAGTCCTGCACTCTGTCTCGTCATTGTTTGAGATCCAACCCACCACGGTGGTGTCACCAGCAAATTTGTAAATGGAATTGGGCTGAATTTGGCCACACAGTTGTGGGTGTATAAGGAGTAATAGCAAGGGGCTAAATATACAGCCTATATGATTATTCTGGCCCTATTGTACTAGGTTTGTCAATTTACAAGGAAGTTTGTTTTGTAGACCTTTGATGCATTTACTCTGTGTGGAATCTTTCTAGCCATGAATGATGTGGGATTTGGCGAGAAACTTGAGAAAATCTAGTGAGGTGATTTTCATTTTGAGACCAATAAGTCAGATTTTCTAACCAAGTGTTGAATGTTGAGGTAAGATTCTGACTAGTGACGAGGCAAGTGTGGATTATTATCACTCATTATCACCCCCCTTACTATTTAATCATGCCTCATTAGTATGCAGTCTCCTATTCTCCCATCTGCTGTATAGACAGTAGACACTAGACAGTCATGAATGTTGGAGCAGGTATGGTTTTTCCTCTCGACATCAATCCCCAAATTCTCAGAATATGTACCATGAGTATTCCATGTCCATGGAAACTTGAATCCATCAAGTACCAGCTTCTCCATACTGTAAAATGGGTTGTGGCTAAGGACAGGTAAACTGTGTGACCTGATACTCAAACTCAACAAGAGTAGGAATGTACAGGTGTTTGTGCAGTGAACTGTCAGCTGTGCCATGCATGTGCAATGAGAAACATTGGATTGTGGATTCAGACTCTCAGTATGTATGGTGAAGGGCAAATCCAGACTGCCAGCATTTGACTGGGGACGTGGCTGAGGTTCAAAGATGGCACCGGTACGAGAGATCGCAAGTAGCGAGTACTTGTGCCTATGGCGAGTGAGGGAGTTGGGCTGGCATGGATAAATATATTAATAATGGAGTGAATTTATAGGGGAAAGTATTCCTTTCATGCTGTTTGAAAAATTACTTGGCACCTTGCTGACTTTAAATCTGGCTATCCTGCAATAAGAATGCTATTGTGGTGACCTTAATGACTTGAGATTGTATCCTCTTGAGGGTGCAGGGATGTCCCTGCTGGCTGTGGAGTCTTACCAAAAGAGGTAGCATTCCCCCTTCCTATCTGCTGTTGGACTGGCTGAATGTCCGCCAGGTGCATATTTTACAGCCACTGAGGTGGAATGAGGTTTTGAAATGGCCAGTTCCCCATCCACGGTTATATGGGAATCAAGAGTTGATGGGAAGGTGGTGCATTGACCATCTGCTTTATTGTACGTGACTTCACTCTGAAACCTTCACATGTGCTGGGGAGGGGGCATAAAATTTACCCCACTATTTCAGCTTCCAGTGTGTATTTTTGCTTTTGTAAACTTAAAAAGAGAGCATTACAAATAAACTTCAGTGTCTGCTTTATCATTCATGAGAATTTTCGTGTGGTTGACTACTCATGTTGTTTAATTGACATCTGTGTCATCTGGAGCTGTCCCTGACTTGGCATTAGATTCGCACTAATGATGGAAATATGAAATTCATTATTGGCTGGGGTCAAGAGATATATTTAGTTTTCTATGAACTTCTAGTACGTCCAGCAGTGGTCACTTCTGTGTTCTGGCGCTGCTGGAACTATAGAGTCTTTAGCCAACCAGCTCATGATTTGAGTAATTCACTACGTTGCTGGCTGCAAAATCTGGCTGGTGTTAACAAAGGCTTCTTAAACCAATTATGTCAATATTAAAACATGAAACGTTTTTTCTGAGGGTAACCTTTGGTATTGTCACATCAAATGCGTGACAAGATTTTGACACTTGGAAAAATGATCAAATTACTGTAATGTTTAGTAACCAACCAAATGGCTATCTTTTAGGTAAATGATCAGACAGAGAATTACCATAAACTGCAGGATGACTTAACCATAGCCAATGAAAAGATTCTGAAAATGCAGCAGGACTTTGATGTGGAGAAGAATTTGATTTCAGCGCAACTTGAAGAGTTCAGACGTCTGTCAGAAAGTTTTAAGGTTCAGTATCATAAAATTCCAACAATCTGTCATTTGCAAAAATTAAAGTTTTTTTTCTAATGCGATCAACAATAAAGTATAAGAAGTATGGATGTATTTTTAGTGCAAGCAATTTGGTATTTGTCTACAAAAATGTGACTTTAGTAAATAGTTACAAAATAACAGTAGCATTGATTTGTAGGAATGGGTTTTGTAAAGTTAAAAAAAAATTATTGTAAATTAGCAAACTACACTTCTTGGTATCAAGAAATTAGTTGTGACTGCAGTCTTGTATCTAAAAAGAACAACATTTCTATTTTTTTTAATGGAGGCAACTGGAGGATAATTATTCATTGATTCCTTGAAAAGTTAGTTAAAGATACAATACAAGAATGAAAAATAGTAATGAAAGTAATATTTTAGATATGGTTGTCTCCATTTTTAAAGTTGCCTTTAACTTTAGTTACAGCTAGAAATTTCTCAATCAGAAAAAAACAAGTTACAAAAGGATGTTGGATATTTTCAAAACGAACTTCAGATCACTGATGTCCTCAAAAAGGATCTAGATGAACATAAACACAGACTAAAGTGCATCCAAGAAGAGCATCAAGCTGTGCTTAAAGGTTTACAAGATCAGGTAATATACTGTACCAAATCAAGGCTGATAATAGATTCATCCAGAGCTAAGACAGAAACTAAATAATTAGTTTTGTGTTTATTTTTGAAATCTTGCAAAAGTCAAGAACTGTCAAATAACCCTGTTTCACAGCATTACAGTACATAATATGGTGAATTAACTTTAGAATGTAATGACTATCACACGACAAAATGGAACCACTTTGTACGAGTAAACGCCTATTATATGTAATGGGATGAATGGCAGGTAGTTCCTGTTTTTAGATAACAGGATGGAGCTAGAAGAATGCAGCAGGCCAGGCAGCATCAGAGGAGCAGGAAAGTTGGTCTAAACTATGGCACTCACCTATCACCATTCCACCTACCTTCCACAGCCCCACCCCTCCTGTCTCTAATTATTTCTGAGCTCCCTTACCCCTCCCCATTTCTGAAGAAGTGTCCCGACCCGAAACGTCAACTTTCCTGCTCCTCCTGATTCTGCCTGGCCTGCTGTTTTTTCCTCCAGCTCCACTGTGTTATCTCTGACTCCAGCATCTGCAGTTCTTGCTATCTCTGAGTTCCTGTTTTTAGTTATGTTTAAGATGATCTCAAGTATAACACAACTTACTTTTATACCCAAATGATTGCACTACTTTCTGCTAAGATGAGAGTCAACATTATGAAACCCTTTTCTCTTTCTTCCTGCTCTCTGACTGTTCCAGTATTTAATGCTCTGTTTTCAAGCACCCAGATGTGTAGGTTGCTTGTCATGCTTCAACTGTAGCAGTCTCACTTCAGTGACAGAAGTTGGTAAATTTAAAATCAATTTAGAGGAGTACGTAATCCATCTTAGCACCTCAGCAGTGTATGGACTGAATGCTTTCATTTTGGAGGGGCCATATTTTTGAAGAAAAGTTAAATCAAGGCCTATTTGCTCAGTACGTAGACATAAACAATATTTAGAATTATTTGCAGAAGAGTATGCAAGCTGTCTCCGTCTCTTTGCCGCTATTTATCCAGCAAACAACATTGCTAAAATTGGTTACCTCATTGCTGTGTGATTGTGGGAAGGAAATTAACCTTTAGCTTATATCTGAATTTGCCTATTCTTTAAGGTTGTTCTAGTTGGCAGTAATTATTGGTGATGGTCCTGGCAATAACTGCACATAAACATACAATTTCAATGGCTTCCCAGGGTGAAATTATGTTTCCTATTCTTTGATAGAAAGTAAGCTTTCCCATATGGAAGATGTCTATTTTGAGTTTTAAATGCTTTTAGGATTTAAGCTGCATGTTGGTGAGATTTTGTTGAAAGGTACAAAAACACACTTTTAAAGTCATGGCCCAAGAAAGAGATCTTCCTTAAATAGCACATTAAAGTGTTTGTTAAATGACAATATAAATATTCACAGTTAGATGATTATCAAAATTAAATCGCTATACTAATTGATTCATTGATTGCATTACTGATTTGAAATGCATTGCATTGTCAATAAAGATTAGTGCCCAAATTCCACACATTAAGATAGTAATCATGAGTCAAGCCATTTTTCAACAAAGAGATTCTGCATCCTGCAGACAATATTGCCCACACTATTTTTGTGATTCAGGAGGCAGGCTGGAGTCAGGGACTCCATCTCATAAAGCAATCCTGGGGAAGAAATGTCAGGTTTGACCTACCTCAGTTCCCTGTGACATCTGTCCAGATTGGTAGATGAGTGTGAAGCCACTTACCTTGCTTCCCCTGCCATCCTGTCCATACCACTCAACCACATCCTCCCACCCATAAACCATCATTTTGACAACCACTCACTCTGCGTCCACTATATACAGAACCTTTGAGCCCGACAGTGCTATTAAAAAGTCTTTATAATGCTCTTAAACTATGAAAACAAAATCATTCAGTAATATGTGGTGCTAAAACTGTTGAGGTAAACAAATGGTATTTCATAAACTATTCCAAGACACAGAATCCTATAAAGTAGACTTAAACCTATCAAGCTGAATAAACTTGCAGTTCCCTTAAGAGCTGTGACAACAGCCCTAATGAGCTGAATCCTTTTCTGATATTTAGAATCCAGCCGACCACTCATAATAGGATTGCATAGCTCATATTTATAAACAAAACTTCTAGAGTTGAATACAGTAAGCCTTTCAAATTCATTTACAGAATTGAACCATCTGGTCAAAGTATAAAGTGGGTGAAACATGACTGGAAAAGCTCAGTCAGCTGCTAACAGTTTAAAGCAGAAGCAGAGATGTCAGAGCTGTCAAATAACAAAAACTTTAAATCACAGGGAACAGTTGATAGTCAAATCTGAATATCACCACTGTCCAATGTACTTTTATATAATAAATAATGTAATCTAAAGCGTTTTTTTTTCTACTCTCATCATGCAGATCAGATTAATGGTCATTTATCTTTTAAGAGCATCATCAATTGCTGCATTCTAAACAGATACAACATACAAAATTATGACATGTGAAATTTGCAATACTTTTGGAATTTACTTGTTAAAGAAGACCCTGCACCAGACTGAATATCCTTTAGCGTTCACAACTTCTCTGAGCTGTCATGACCACATCTTCAAGAGTTGGCTTGATGTCCATTAAAATTTAGGGTCTGAAACGCCTACACTCACAATGGAGCTGCCAAGGTCAGGAATGCTATGTCTAGGGTTTATTCTTGTACCCTTATTCTGTGTAGCTAATAATTGTCGATGTGGGAAAAAACCATGAAATGGGTCCTGACTGCCATTTTTAAAGCTCACCAGTATCCATTCCGCCATGGACAGAGTCATGAAAATCTTGTTATAAGTACCTGTTTTCTAGTATTTTTGCTTTTACTTTATCAGTGTTTTATTTCAGAAAATTTTTTGTTAATATTTACCCCAAAATCTTAATACTTCCTTGATAATTGTAAACATTGCATTTAATTTGTTAGCATAATGTTCAAGTACAGCTGGACCAAGCAAAATTGGCTGGAATGCAGAAACAGCTAACTGAACAAGAAATGGAAATTAGCAACCTAAAGACTGCAAAAGAAGAAGTAAATGTTACCTTAAAAGAAGCTATCTGCAAGGTAAAACTTACGTGAAATCTGGATAGCAGCTAATTTCTACACTTAACACTCCTCCTGTTAATGTAAACAAATTACTGATGTGTTCAAATTGTTCAGGGCTTAAGTGCTATACAAATTCTGAGAGATATATCTATAGTTTAATTTGCATGCTGCCAAATAAAAAAAAATTATACAGTAGTCTCACTCAAGGGTATGACTTAAACTGGATTTTCTCGTTAGTAGTATGCTGTTTATTTAGTAAACAGGAACAGAAAAGAAACACAAAAGAGCTTAATTTTAATGTTTGCAATAGTAAAGAGCAGAAAGTATTATCATATTTACTAGATGATTAGAATGATATGTGATAGTACAAAGGAATGAAAATCCTCCCTTCCACACATCACAGAATTGTCCTGCTTTGTCAAAATATTTTTTTCCAGTTGCATTCTATTTTGAAGCCTATAGAAGCTCACATTTGCAGGGATTTTTAGAAATAAAAATCTGACTGCCTGTCTGTGTCTTTATCTGTCTCTTTAATTTTCCTCTGCTCACAATTAGAGGAAAAGGCTTATGCTAAGTAATCCTTCTTAGTGCCCATGATCATGCATATCCCAACACAGTGAATGTGACATGTTTACAAATGAACAGATAGGCTAATTAATTGCAATTTTTGGACAAAGAACTTAAAAGCTTAGCACATTAGCTGTTGAGCCAATGCTCATTTCAGTATTTCCTTTGTAAACTTTTAGAAATGTTAAACCCTGAATTGTAGCACTTCATAATCATCATCATAGAACCCCATTGTGTGGAAACAGGCCATTCGCCACACTGACCCTCTGAAGAGCCTCCCACCGTGACCCATTTCCCCCTAAGCCTGCATTTCCCATAGCCAGTGGACCCAACCTGCACATCCTTGAACACTATGGATAATTTAGCATGGCCGATCCACCTATCTTGCCCATCTTTGGACTGTGGGAGGAAGCTGGAGCACCCAGCGGAAATCCAGTGACGCAGGGAGAATGTGCTAACTCCATACAGAGAGTTGACCAAGGCTGAAATTGAACCTGGGTCCCTGGCGCTGTGAGGCAGCAATGCTACCTACTGAGCCACCGTACTACCCTATGTCCCACACCCCCATGAACTAATTGTAATTAATTGTATACAGTTGTATGCAATAGTGTGCATTAACTGGAGACTACTTTATGCTTCCATGAACAGGAACAGATTGAAAGAAACTGATAGTTGGGATGGAAGTCGTGTTGAGACACACAAATGGAACCAGCTGTATTGAGACATTGAATTTTCAAGTCAAAATGTTTGTGATGTATTTTTGACAAATTTTAGAACAAAGTTTACATGGGGAAAGAGTTCTACCTAGATGCCTTTTAAAGTGTGTTAAGATTAGTTCTACTTCTATCCTTCAACACCTGACTTCCTCAATCCAGGAAGGAGAGAAATTTTTAAAAATCGATGAGGACATTAAAATGGTTTACAAACTTGAATGAGCACATTTATTTGGAAAATAAAAGTATCTAAACAATTATTGAAGAATTTTTATCAACAAAATCTTTTTTAGGCAGAAGAGCTGCAAAAATCAATGGCTAAGCTAAAAGGGGACAAGGATTGTGCTCAAAATAAACTGCTACTTTGGATGAAAAGCTGTAAACAGCTTGAACATGAAAAGGAGTCACTGAAGAAACACATTCAGCAACAAGAGGAGCTACTTGCACAGCTACAGAAAAACCCAAAACTGGGTAAGTAGTCAGTAGATTAATCCAGTATTTGAATAAAAGAAATGTGTCAAATTTAAAAGTAATGCAGATGGTTTAGTTAGTCCTTTGAACTAGTTAACTTATTTTGGACTTATTAAAACATTTATTAGCTTCGGCCTGATTCCTTCGTAGTCTTAACTTGTAAATCTTTTCTATTGGTATTTGCTTTAATGAACAATATTTTTCATAATTGGGAAAACTTCTAATAGTTCACAATGATATCCATTTTTCCAAAGAAACTTTGAGCTTAAAAGTTAAATTATATATTGTATTAAGTACCAGCAGAAAACTAGGCAAAATTTGTCACACATTGACACTACATGGACTATTCTAGTAGCAATCACTCGTGGCTGATTATGAGATGCAAAAATTTATACTGCTGCAATTTGGAAAGCTTTTCTGACATTGCATTCGAGCAACAAAGGGTATATTATGCATGTTATTCCTTCAAGTGTTTTCTAAAAAAAAACTTTTAAAAAGTTGTACTGCATTCTTTTCCTTTCGTGCCTTTCCCACTTCAGGTGCCTTTTGAATCATGTCAGTATTTCTATCCTTAGTAACAAAAGATTGCAAAATGAATCTTGCTGCTTGAAAATTCATTAATCTATACCTTAACCATTGTTAGATACATTCTCAACAACAATTTTTAATAGCTTATAACTATTTGAATTTTTATTTTGAATTTCAAGTTTGATTAGTGGCAACTGCATCATACAGACACATTTTCTTCTTTATTTCCTATATGAACATAAGTTTTAAAATAGAAATATTTACTTGTTCACCATCGCAAGTATATTTTCCTGAACCAGCACTGTACCAAATGATTAAAATGAGATTATAACAGGGCCTGACCTGTTTATGGAGGAGAGGTATGAATGGTAAAATTTAGGCATATCAAATTTAACAGTGGTTATAAAATCCACTTAGCTTGTCATAACCCTGAATTTATCCAACCTTTGCAAGGCCTTCATAGATTAATAATTTTAATGTCTTGTCCAGATTCACAAGCGGATGAACTAACTGCTGAGGTGGAGGATCTAAAGGAGGCACTGGAGGAAAAAACAAAAGAAGCTGATGAAAATATGGAGAAATATTGGAACCTGATTAAAAGCAGCCATAAATTGGAGGAGGAAAATGAAATGTTAAAGAGCAGGGTGGTCTTCTTGAGCAATAAATTACAACAGTCAAATGCTCAAGAAGAGAATGGTGTTGCAGAACAAGTTGCTGCACCAAGATCAGTTGTACACCAGTGTGAAAAGAAGTCACCTGGTCAGTCCAACAGTCAGCAAAAATATCTGAAGTCTCCAGGTATGAACTATATTGCAGAACAGCCTATGGATGCTCCACTGGAATTAGCTGGAAAGAAAAGTCACCAAAAGCGCCCAGATGCTCAATCAAACCGTACTGCAAAGAGAGTAAGGGGAGCTGAATCGAAGGAGGAACGAGATAAATTGAAATCAGAAGCTTTGCAGAATTCTGCAAAGAGGACAAGAAATGATAAAGAGCATGAGATTATTTTAAGGCCTGCTACAAAAGATGAAACTCCATCTGAACCAGAGGGTCTTCCACATATTGTTAAAAAAGGTGAGTTTATTCAATCACACATCTATGGAATAAATGAAAAGATTGAGATCATTATAAATGCAAACTTGCTTCTGTGGTTTTATCAATCACTGAAACCTGGAAAATAATTTCCTGACTTAACTTTTGCATTGATGGTACAGCTTACTAATGTCCAAAGACAAGAATGGCGAAAAATCAGCCAAGTTTCCAGCTTGATTGTAAGTGAAAAGATCTGCCTCCCTCTCTCTCTAAACCACTACAACTGACATCACACAAACATCTCCTCGCCCAGTCAAATGATAATGCTTGCTTAAGACCAATTTAATAACAAATTGGCTATTTAGCTTAGGTAGGACACCAAAGTTTGCCAGGACTAAAACAATAAGCCTAATTCTAACTTTTAGCAGCAACAGAAGATCTGCGATACCTGATTGATCATCCATTTTTATGCTGTGCCAGGTTTTCATCTATGTTGACTTTAATGGAGAGGAGAATTTTTTTTTTTCTCTCTCTCACGGGACGTAGGTGTCACTGGCTCGCCAGTATTTATTGCCCATCCCTAGATGCCTTTCAGAAGTTGGTGGTGACCTGTCTTCTTGAACCAGTGTGGTAAGTAAACCCACAATGTGTTAGGGAGGAAATTCCAGGTTTTTGACCCAGTGACAGTGATACATTTCCAAGTCAGAATGGCGAGTGGCATGGAGGGGAACTTGCAGATGGTGATGTTCCCATGTATTTGCTGCCCTTGACCTCCCTGTACCGCATCCCAAAACCAGCCCAGCTCGTCCCTGCCTCCCTAACCTGTCCTACCTCCCACTTATCCCCTCCTCCCACCTCAAACCCCACCCCCATCTCCTACCTACTAACCTCATCTGGCTCCCTGACCTGTCCATCCTCCCCGGACTGACCTATCTCCTCCCTAACTCCCCACGTACACTCACCTTTACTGGCTCCATCCCCGCCTCTTTGACCTGTCTGTCTCCTCTCCACCTATCTTCTCCTCTATCCATCTTCTATCCGCCTCCCCCTCTCTCCCTATTTATTTCAGAACCCCCTTCCCCTCCCCCATTTCTGAAGAAGGGTCTAGGCCGGAAACATCAGCTTTCCTGCTCCTATGCTGCTGCTTGGCCTGCTGTGTTCATCCAGATCTACACCTTGTTATCTCGGATTCTCCAGCATCTGCAGTTCCTACTATCTCAGATAGACTAAGGAACTGGCTGATGGGCAAGTGGGCTCTTTGCACTAGGATGTAGCTGAGAAGCAGAAGGATAGGAGGCCTCACAGTGAGAAATAGATTGGATGATGATTATCAGATCAGTAATGATTTCATTGAATGGCAGAGCAGACTCTATGTCTATTGCTGCTCCTACCTCTTTTGGTCTTGGGAATGTGAGGGTGTTGGGGAGAGATTGGAAGTGTTACTGGTGGGAGAGATTGGAGGTCTCCTGGTCATAGTGAGGTATGGGCATAGACACTGAAAGGTTGGGCAGATCGAAGAGATTGGAAGCGTTGGGGATGTCTGATCATGGGTACGGTTGCATGAAGCAGGTATAATAGTAAATGGAAAGGCACTTAAGGTCCTGAGTACGGAAGTCTTTTTCTTCTAGTATGAATCTCCCAATGTCTAAAAAAAACCCAACTGAACTGGATATAATTTAAGTCTATATTTGTGGTCAATGCCATTGCAAGGTGGAGCCAACCATGCATACGTATGCAATCACTCCTTTGGCTCAATGTTTATTTATTTCTGATTCATAGAATCACAGAATGCCCACAGTGCAGAAAGGCGCAATTTGACCCATTGCGTCTGCACTGACCGGCCAAAGAGCAGCCCCACCCCCACCCCCACCCAAACCACCATCCCTGTAATCCTGCATTTACCATGGCTGATCTACCTAACCTGAACATCTTTGGACTGTGGGAGGAAACTGGAGCACTCGGCAGAAACCTGTGCAGACACAGAAAGAATGTGCTGCCTGATTCTACGTCTGTGAAGTTCTTTGGGATGTTTCCATCATCAAATATGATATATAAAGATTGTGCAAAGGAATAAATGAGATTCTGTATCTTTGCATAAAGCTGAAATACAATAAGATAAATAGCTGAGAGCCCCAATCGTGTTGGTGATTATTCATGAATAAACTTTTGCTGCTTCTTATGTACTGAGTCATCTTGATGTTTCTGGTAGATAGAAAGTTTGTCTCTCTCTCTCTTGCTAAATTGAAATTAATGAGTTAAACGTTTTGAGTAAAAAGCTTAACTGGCCAGAAAGAAAGGAATTATCATGACTACATGGGTGCAAATGCACATGCACAGGTTGATCAATATATCATATTTGCGTTGGGAATATACCCTCTGTAAATTTAAAGTGGTAGTTTATTCTGAAGCACACACACTCATTGTAATATTTAAATTGGTAATTTGTGTTCTGCAAGCAGGTTAATTGTCTGACCTCTGAGACCTTTAGACTTTTATGGTGCACCCAACCCACGGTTAAAATTCCCACAGCATCCCTGTAAGAAGAATACAAGTCAGGTGCCTCCAGAAGCTGATGCCCAGTGAAGTTTTCAACCAAATGAAACATCTGTCAGTGTCTGTAATCCTTTTGCCTGAGGGTCCTAATAATCCTGCAAGTCAGTGTCTTTAACGAGAAAGGTGAATTTGAATGCAAAATATTGCATCTGTCGAAGCATATTTTCAAAAGCTTAATTGATTAATTGATTTAGGGTTTTTTATTCACGAGCAGGTTGAACAACTGTTGACGCAATACATATTTATGTAATTCTGGAATTTATGCAGTCATTGTGTCTAATGATAATCATTTTTTTTCCTTCAGGTTTTGCAGACATACCCACTGTATCCCATAGCCCCTACATACTGCGTAGGACAACCTTACTAAACAGGGCTAGTTCCAGCCTTGCAGTTCAGAGCAGGATATCTCCCCATAGGCAGATGCAAGATAAGGGAGTTGTGCAAACCTGCAACAAGTCAGAGACAACAGCAGGAAGCAGTCCTGTCCAGCAGGTAACTTTATTCAGCAGGCGCATTGCTTTCTGTGATGATATAATTGATATAGTCGTACAGCATGAAACATACCCTTTGATCCTGATATAGAAGTGTTGGCCCACTTGTAGACTGTGAAGAAATAAACATGGCAAAAATTTATTGAGACTGTATCCTTCAGAAATGTTATACTATCTTTTAAGAAGTAGTTTTGTCTAGTGAGTGGGGGTAATAAATTACCTTGGCCTAGACATTGAGGCTAATGAAGAAAGGCCTGGTCTTTAGTTCAGGGGTCTTTGTATGGCACAAGGATGGGCATGGAGCTCTGATAATGGGGAGCTTGGAGGAGTGGAGTAAGGACTTCTGCGTCACTTTGCTCACATAATAGTGTCATGAAGTTACTTGCTTCCTCTCTAAAGCTCTCTTCACCTGCTAGGTTTCCTAACTGGCTCCTACAAAACCTCAACGCAGGTTAAATTAGAGGCTGCCCAGCTTTCTTTAAATATTTTAAATTAACCAATTCAGCACCTGGGGTTTGCTTTCCATCCCTTGTTCTACATCCATTCAATCTGGCATGTTAAGGAAGAATTGAGATTTTTAAGTTTAACTTCTTACCAAATCCCATCTCAACCACTTTTAGTCACTAATCTTCATCCCTTTGTCTCTATATAAATATTGATAAAGTATTTGTTTTGTTTTTCTCCTTTCATTGTGTTTCAATTCAGTTTAGGCTGTGGTTAGTTTATTTAGTTTCAAATTATATTTTATCTTGAATTTTCTGTACTCTTTCTTTGTGGACTAATTATTCTTGAACTCTAACAAAGCATTTTATTTGTTCATGGGAGATGGGCATTGCTGGCTAGACCAGCATTTATGCCTATCCCTTATTACCCTTGAACTTTTTAGGCTATTAGAGAGGGCAGTCAAGAGTCAAACAAGTTGCTATGGGTCTTGAGTCCCATATAGGCCAGACCAGAGAAGGTTGAATATTTACAACAATGTACTGCAGCTATTTGGTCATCACTAACTCGTTTCTAATTCCAGAATTTGCTGAATTCAAGTTTTACCATTTGCCATAGAGGTATTCAAATCCAAGTCCTCAAAATATTAATTTTGAATTCCAGATTAGTGACATTACCAGTATACTAGAGCCTTGCTGCAGAATGTTTAGAAAAAAAAACATGACAGAAGTTTTTCCTAAAAGTACATTTACAAATTATTAAATCCTTTAAAGTATAGCGCAGCAACAAAGCAAATATGGATATGGAATTTTCTCCCGTCTGTTGGACTATAGTCTCCTATTCATGTTTGTACCTGTTTGATTGCATTCCCTCATAATAAACAGAAAATAATTCATGATATTTGCTCATATCATATGACATAATTTCATGTTTTGACATCTATCTTCATTGTGTTCCTTAGCACTCAGCTGAATTTCCAGCATTACATCCGGATTCAGTACCAACTATGACAGAGCCACCTCTATCATCTTTAACAAACAGTGCAAATAAAATGGGCTTTAATACTTCTGATGGGAAGCAATCAGAAAAAAGTAGGTGCCCATTGAATACAAAGAAATTTGTGGAACAAAAGAAACGTTACACCAAACAGATTACTGTGACAGACGAAAATGAAAATTGCAAAGTACAGTAAACAAATAGTAGAAATAGCACAGTACTAACAGGTGAACTCTATTGTAAAATCTTCTGCAGTAGTTCTTGAGGTGCAAAAACGAAGTACCAAAGCTGACTGTAAAGTGTACAAAGTACAGTGATTTACAGAGAGTAAATGATTGTAAGTTTCTAGTAATAATGCCAACTATCATATGTAAAACAGCTTTAAAGTAGTAAAGTATCCTCTAAAAGATGCAACTTAGTAATATTACAAAATGGTTAAGATTACTGTTTGCAGAATACTGACACTTTTGTACATTATTTCTTTTCTAAACTATTCTATTAACCCTAAATTACAATTTTCTGTAAAATATTGGCAGCACCCTTAATATCTCTCAAGTGATTTTTGTTTGAGTTGGAGGGCCTTATTCTGTCATAAAGCACCATCCCAAAAGCCATTAATTTGAATAATTCAGAAAAATCTTTAAATGTGCTGTGATTTTGTAACAAGTCAGTTTTTTCATAAGCTTAAATTTGAGTTCTAAGCTGCCAGAGGTTTCAGTCTCTGTTTGTGGGGTAAGGTTTCATAACTAGCAACAACCTTTATTCAGTACATGAGAAGATATTAATTTGCAATGATATAAAATTGTTTTATTTTGTAAAAGGCAAATAAACTTGTACCTTTTTTAAAAAGAAGGTATAATATTTTACTCATATTAGAGTAGGAATGTAATACTTATGTGCTTGTTTTGTCTTTTCTAGCATTTTTGTATACAATTGTACAGAAATTAATTAAAATTAATCAAATTTCAATTAAGATTGTGACTGGTTTTAACTAAGCTTTAGTTTCAATTTTTCTTAATGACATTGTCATCCATGTGATAGCAAATAAATTATATTACTGGATTATTAATCCAAAAACCTGGAAGAAGACTTTGGGGATAGATCCTAGTGAGATATTCAGTTGTATCAAATTGCTGCTATAAAATATCATGAAACTAGGTGGACCACCTTGCATCAACCAAGACAGCAGACACAAAGGCACATTCAGCTCAATCAACCCTGAAGTGTCCTTGCCATGAACATTTTGGGGGCTTGTGCCAAAATTGGGAGAGCAAAACTGGGACGTTTTAACATGTGACTCACAGAATCATACATTTCAGGTAACCTTCCAAATTCCTCCTCTACCAACTCTGGGATAAGTCCTGACCCACTACAGATGGTGGCACAATGGTATAAAACTAGACAGTCTTTAACACTGACTTGGAGCCAACTTACATGAGGTTGCATGGTATCAAACATGAGTCAGGAAACTTTGCTGATTAATGGTGAGACAGCAGCAGGTTCTAATGTATCAGTATTCCTCCATGTTGATCACAACTTTGCTTTGGAATTAAGGGCAGAAAGGGCACAGAATGTACTCCGGTTGGGAAATTCAATGCCCATTTACTAGAGTGACTCAATGGCATTATTATTGTTCTAATGTTGAGATGTAGCTTAATTGACCTTATCCTCCTCAATTATCTGTGTCAAAGTCATCTTTCCATAATGGTATTTATAGAATTAGCTGTCACGGTCCTTGAGGAGACCATGCCCTGGCTTCACAACGTGGATACCTTTTTTATTGTGTTGTGTAAGACTGCCACATATTTAGAACTTGAAACTGGGCATCCACAAGTCATTTGGATAAACAGCTGCAATTGTGTTCCATCCAATTCTATAACCTCATGGCCTAGCATATCTTTCAGTGTAGCATTACCATCAAGGCTGTAATAACTTCAAAGCTTTGCTTTGATTTGCAATGATTTAATACAACCAAAACACTTTAATTACAGAATATACTATATGTTCAAATGCTGGGAAAGTCCCCATATCATCCTTGATTGGACTAGCATGTCACATGATTCTTCAGAGCTCATCCTTAAAGGGACCAACAACTACAAAGGGGAACAAACCTGGTTCAATAAGGAGTGTCAAATATATGCCATAGCCAGGCATGCCTAAAAATGAGGTGTCAATCTGGTGAATCTAAAACACAGGTTAAACAACAAAAGCAGCATGCTATAGACAATTGAACAGTCTCAGTATCAATGTATCATAGAATCCTTACAGTGTGGAAGCAGGCCATTCAGCCCATCAGACTGACCCTCCCCCAAACAGCATTCCACCCAGACCCACCCCCTACCATATTCCTGTAACCCTGCATTTCCTATGGCTAATCCACCTAGACTGCAGATCTTTGTCAGATAAAAACTTTGTAATCTTGCCACATCCAGTTGTGAATCATAGTGGAAACTCAAATAACTAACAAGAGGAGGAGGTCTTATTGACATCTTAATCCTCAGAGATGGTACAGCCTGGCACCTGAGCACTTAAACATAAAGCTGAAGCATTCATAGTCATCTTCAGCCAGGTGAAGTCAATCTTCACCTCTCCTAAAGGTTCTCAAAATCACAAGCTAAACTTACAAATGGATTCATTCCACTTGGTATCAAAAAGAGTCTGAACACAGTGATACAGCAAAGGTCATGGGTCACAACAACAACCTGGCTGTATTACTGAAGACTTGTGTTTTATGTCTAATCCTGCTGTCCCTTCCTAAGTACAACACAACTATCTACTGTATAATGTGGAAAATTGCCTGGATTACATACTGTCCTGTCCACCAAAAAAAAGAAGCAGAAAATATCTCATCTTGTCTGTCAGCCTATTCTCAATCATTAGCAAAGTAAATAAACGTGTTGGCAATAGAGGTATCAAACAGTACTTATAACTAAGTTGCTCACCAAAGCTTAGTTTGGGTTCTTATAGAACCTCTCAGTTCTATACCTCAGTCTTGATCAAAACAAAAGAGCTGAATTTCAAAGATGAGAAGACTTCAACAAAACATTCACTTGATTGTAGCATCAAGAAACTCTAGTAAAATTGAAGCCAATGAGAATTGGAGTTAAAGTTCCCTTCAACATGTAATCAGAAATGAGACTGTTGACTGGTAGTTTCAGCCTTCAGTTCCCATCACAATCCCTTGGATAATGAAGCAGCCTTCACCAGCATGGATGCAGCAGGACATACATAATATTCAATCCAATCAATAAATGGGTTGATAAGTGACAGGTAATGTGCTTACAATAAAGATATTAAGCATTGACCATTTCCAACAAAATAGTCTAATCATACCCCTGACATTCAACAGTATGAACATCCTTGGTGAAGGGTAGTAACCATGACCAGGAACTTAACTGCATCAGTTAAAAAATCATTGTGACTAATAGTAGGTTAGAGGCTGTGTAAGATGGGAAAATAGGCTGGGAAAGTTAATGACGATATTCGACAGCTGCATGACCTTGAGTGAGTCCTATGAACAGTCTTTTATGGGCCAAAGACAGCACCAGCAGCTTGTTTTCTGTAACTGTGTTTTCTGTACTAGCAAGCAGTTTTGTCTTCTGTATCTGCATTCTCTTTGCTGGCTGTGTTACACAGTATACAAGAGAGAGAGTTTTGTTCTGAGGTTTGGATTTTGCCTCGGACCGGGATCATGAATAGTACCAGGAATGAACCTAAGCCTCCAGAACAGCCATCAATCGAGGGGTCCCTGATGGGCAGAAGGGCGTGAGACTTGTTGCTTTTTTTCCCTTTCCTTTCCAAATTTTACTCATTATTATCATTATTACTACTCAGCAAATATCCACATTTAAGCAAATTTCTGTTGCCGAGTCTTCTTTTAACTATATTTAAAGGAATCCAAAAGAACCGCTTGGATACACCCTGCGATCCAAGACACTTTTTGGCGATGAGGATGGGATTCAGGAAAATATTTAAGAGACGGGAAAGGCAAGCTGATGATCTGGAGATCTTCAGTATTCCGGATGGAATGTGGCAAACTCTGGATTCGGGTCTGTAGATAACTTGTTAGCACAATTAGGACCCCTGCAAGTTATAACTGGAAAAAGAAAGGAGGGTTATTCATACAGGCTGCCATATGCAGTGATTGTGGGAAGCAGCCTTCCCCAAAAGCAATGACAGTGTACTGCAGATGGGATGGATATTGTTAACAGCTTTGCATTCTACAGGTAGAGAATTAGAAGAGTGCTAGGCCAAGGACAGGCATCTTGAGGCCTCATTGATGGCGGTAGAACAGCATAACATCACCCTAGCAGAAACAATTAATACAACGCAGGAGAGAGCTGAGAATGCGGAGGAGAAACAGAATCAGATAAAATGCTGTCTGGTGATGGTACAATAGAAAAAGAGAGCAAAACGGCACAATTGGAAAGTTGACCCAGTTAAAGTGCGCACGTTATTAACCTCACAATGGGACCCCAACCATTGGGATGGGGACATTTGGTATTCATCTGATTCGGAGTATGAATGGACAGACGGGTATGGGAATGCTCCGCCTCTGCAGCCGTCCTCAGAAAAGGGATTTGTGGCAATGACCCTTAATAACAAATCAGGCAAAACAAATAGGAGGACAAAACCGGCAAAATTTGAGAATAGTGAGTGATCACTCTATGTTTGATTTGCAGAATTTGGGGTCGCACTTTAAGCAGAAATCGGGTGAACTCTTGGCGGTCATTGGACCAAGGTGCTGCCCATATTATGCTGAGTGCGACAGAGACAGGGAATCTGGGAGCACTGTGTGTTGATTCACATGTTAAAAGCATTGTAGAAACAGAGGGCAAACTGGATCATTGTGGAATGCACTGACATTAGCAGTAGGAAACAAATACCCCTTCCCGATAGATTGGGAAGGTGATGTTGAAAAATGAGAGAGCATACCAGAAGGTATAAAACACTTGAGGGATTTGGCTATACAAGCGGATATGCATTCTCCACAGTTTCAGGATACAGACCAGAAAGCTTTCACAGCCGGAATGGGGAGCCAGCTAATGCAAAATGGTTCTGGCTGGATAAGAGGTGTTAGCCTTATTAGGGCCAGCCCAGGGACAGGCAGTGGGACAGGTATGTTTGTTGTGAGGACAGTTAGAGGATGTGGAGGCTGGTAAGTGAAGAGTGACGCCCACCCGAGTGAGTGACAAACAGGGATATCAAGGTGGAGATGGGGTGGGTTTGAAACAAAAGATAATCAGAAGAGAAATGTCTGCGTCATTATTAAAAGCAGGAATAGAGAGGAGTAAGATAGACGGAATAACTACAGATGCCATGTACAATATGTGGAGGATGCACTGCTCTCCAATGGGTAAGGAAGTAAGAGAGGCCAAATCAGATGTGGAGGGAGAAAAGGAAACCACACCGACTGTATCTCCCACAACATCCCTGTACCCGAGTCTGGAGGAGGTCGGGCAGTTGTGGTGAGCCCAGTCAGCCCATCGAGTAGGGGTGGAGCCAGGACTCCAGGGTCTGTGTGAGGGCGTTTGGTGGGACGACCGAAGACCTGAGGCCTCCTGTCCCTATCATTGTTTATTGGAGGAAAGGCAATGTACAACAAGACATCACATTATTAGACACGGGGGCAGAAGTTACTATTATACATGGTAATCCAGATAAACATGTAGGACTCAGAACAACTACTAATGGATTTGATGGGGCGATAACACCACCGGTTGAACAAATATTAGAATGGCCTTGGGGAATGGACCCCCACGGTTAGTCACAGTATTGATGTCCAACATACCAGAAAATATTGGTATGGACTTATTAAAAGGTACTACCTTGCAGACCCCACTGGGCAAATTCTCTTTTGGTATATGAACTGTGACCGTTACTGTTGGCAAGGCAAAATGGGCACCCCTCAAAATCCCTCCACCTTCACGGGTGGTTTTGATGAAACAGTATCGTATCCTGGGAGGGCACAAA